CGTCTGAAGCTCAGCTATGGGCTGTCCCGGACGGTATCGTCGCACGCGACCCAGGCGTCGAAACATCCGAGGCAAATGTGCCAGGGGCTTTATCTTTGCACCCGAGGCAGCCACAGTGCGATTCTGGAAGGAGCTGCGCATCTAAAAAGATATGCAACGAAAAGTATCATTGTGCGCGCTGTCTTTTCGACACCGGGTGTGTTGGAGGACCAGGGGGCTGTTCTGGTTCAACCGGGCAGGGTAAGTGCGCCTGGAACTTGTGAGGGCTGATGCTCAGGACTGCCTACTCTACCGTTGACCCTGCTTTGGAAATTGTGGCTCATGCCTATCACACTCGTTGTAATCCACTGAAATGAAAGATACCTCCAGGGTATACAGATATTTTGTTTGCGCGATTTCTCATGTGACTGCGTGGATGGTTTGACAAACATCGCGTGACTCGACCGAATGAATACTTAAGGCTACACTCCGACTCCAGGCTCCTACTACTTTTCATTGTACACAAGCGTCCCATACATATGTCCTTCTCGCTTCTCTACTTGGATCACAGACTTCTGCCCAACAACGCTTGTCATACCTAGGCGATTAACACTTCTATATACCCCAATTACTTCTTGGAAACACACATTCAGCCATGTCGTCCACAGTGCTGGTCAGCGACCTTCCCTCCAACTGCGAGTCATCCTACGTATTCACTGAGCTACGTTTGCAAGAAGACGAGATCGAGGAAGTGTACACACGAGCGGGAGGAGGCGAGTCCGCCTGGATAATCTTCAAGGCCCCCGACGTCGCCGCAATCTTTGAGAAGAACCACAAAGGCTACCACTTCGGGGCAACCGGCAAGAAGATCGCGACTTCATTCTGGACCGAAGCCATTCCCGACCACGCCACCAATCGCTATTCCGATTTCGTCCGCGCCCGGGATCACCAGATAGACTCGCGCACTGTTGAGATTACCGGTCTTCCCACAAAACACACTCTGAGTGACATGAACAAGTTGCTAGAGTCGGTGCGAGATCAGTACCTCGAGGCCACCAAGCAGAACCAACGTCTACAACCGACCGACTACGGCTACTATGAACCCATCAATATCCTTCAAGTCAAGACACCCGACCCAGGAGTCGGTCTTTTGCAGCTCGCGCAGCCTTGGATGGCAGTCGCCATTGTACAGCAGTACGCGGGTACTTACTGGAAGAACGCGACCCTCAACGCTCGGTGCGTTCCCGATGAAAAAATGAACGAACTGCTTGTAAATGAGCCCAGCGCCACGGACGTATCGCTCTTCGTCAAGGGCTTGAAGGTCGGTACGTCATCGAAGGAGGTGCGAGAGATTTTCAAGGACTTCCCCATCACCGACGTCAACACGCTACCAGGCAAGACATTCTGCTTCGTTATCGTTCAGCAAGCGCACGCCGACTCGATACTCGCACAGTTCAAAGGTGGCGTCAAGTGGCAAGGTCGCACCATCAAAGTGGACTTATCGGACAAGGATAAGAGGAAGAGGAAGGCTGCGTTTGGTTCTGCCGGCGCCACTCCCATTCCTGCGCCAGCTTTCCTACCGCCTACTGATACCACGGACTTAAAACTGGAAAACCTGCCCTACGACGTCACAGACTACCAAATCCGCACCATTTTCGAGGGCTTCACCGTATACAAGATCGTCATCAAGCAGGGCTACGCTTTCGTGGGTATTCCGACAGGGGCAGTCGGCCGCGCGCTCGATAAGCTGAACGAAACGATGATTGGTGCTCAATATATTAAAGCCAAGGTCGCTGATCCCCGGAAGAAGTAGGGCTGCAGGTCTGGCTTGGTGTTGTGAAGGTATCCAAGGCGTTTACGAGACGTCAGAGGCGGGTCGTTGCGTGTTTTGTATCTGTCAGCTGGTGTGTTGATGGTTACTCTAGAAAGTTTAGATGGCTTGTAGGCGCTTGACTGTGGTAACTCTGGGGATTGCGACCTCTCTCATTTGATGAGGAGCACCTTTGCGTATGTGGTGGTTATGTATTTTGGAAGTCATGAGTGGCTCGTCTCGCTCTGCGTCATCGCAGTACCATGGTTGAGTGTGGTAATGAAATACTTGCAAATTTATTCACTGCAATGTTGCCCTCGTGATGGATGTTGCCTTAAGTTACACTGACCATTCCTTGTGTGAGCATGCTCGGGCTTCTGAAATTCTAGCGTATTGCTTCACAATAACACTTACTGCTGAGCTCAACACTCGATCAAGCCGAACGCTCAAAGCTTAAATATGACAGACTACACCTACTACAGTTCATCCGCGTCCAGAGGCTTCACCTTTCTGATACCATACCATGTCCAAGCCAAATTTGTCACCATCACGAAGAAGCTTCCTCCCACCGCGCGCCCAGTCTACCGCGAGTATTTTGGCGACATCATGGCATGTCGAGATCGAGCTCGAGACTCAGCCGAGGCGATGCAAGCGTTCGTGAACGATGACTTTCCGCGGATTTCGAGGGACCATAACCGACTAGCGAATCTGATGAATGCGGAGATCGACAACCAAAGGAAGAATGTGTTGGTCAAACTACCAATTACGGGCGATGGAACGGCGGCTGAAGACGATGAAGAGGATAAACCGGCAACGCAGTCGCGTGAGAGAAGTCCGAGTGTCGCAAACTCGGACAAAATGGCGACATCGGAAGCTGTGTCAGAGGCCGCCGCGGAGGCTACAGTACGCGAAGAGTCCCCTGAAGCAGCTTCTCCTCCGACTATGGCGAATGCGGAGCTTGTTCAGCCAACTCTGGGTCAGGGCCCTGCGACATTGCCGGCTTCTCCAACCGGCATAAACAGAGAACAATCCGAGGTAGACGAAGAAGACAGCGAGCTGAGCGTGATATTTGTCGACACATCAGAGCCTTGGAAGGATTCGCTTTGGCCACACGGCGCCTGGATCGATGGTCTAGAAGTTATCGATGCGCTTCCATGGCCGCAGCCAAGCCGACCAAACCGTGTCGTCCCGGACGGCCAGTCTCCCCACAACGAGCCACAACATGCCGCGGCTAATCCTCATTCCTCTTAATCCCTGCTTTGATGTCCCAGAAACAAGTGACCTGCAGCTTTCCGCGGCCGACGCACTCAGGGTTGTCGCAGTGGAAGCGCGAACATCGTTCTCGGTAGCGGAAGTCGATGTTGCTGAGGCAGTACATGCACGGCCATAGGTCGACGTAGGGGAAGGTGGCCTTGATCTCGTACGTAGCGTTCCTGCGTTGAGTCAGGTCAGGAAGCGTTTAGAAATGACACGTTAGCACTCACCTCCACTTTTGGATGTCTTCTCGCGTCAGGTTGTGCGATGCCGGAGGGTCTTCTTGTCTAAGGGTCGGGGTATCGCTTCGCTTGGCTGTTGAAGCGCCCTCATTTCTGGGTGCCGGAGCGCTTGTCTCCTCGGACTGCCGAAGCTCACTGCTTCTCCGACGATTCTCGCGTCTCAGTCGTTGGGCGTTCATGTCTTGTGGTTGTTGGGTTTCCTGGGCGCTCGGTTTTGGGGTGTTACCGTATCCGAACAGCGGCATGGTCACTTTCGTGCGATGAACGTGATAGAAGATACAGAAGTGGAGGGTAGGGAAGTCAAGAAGAGTGTTAGCTGTCCAGCGAACGAAATTGTGTGACGATAATCACTCGCGTAGCGCGTGGCTTCAACCACGTAACGGTGAACTTTGGAAAGTGAATATGTTTGGTCGTCGCACGGTTCGAAAAGACATGATGACGCGTACTGTACCAAATATTCCACGGCAAGCTGAAGACCACCTGATGCAATACTGACTTTCCAAAGCGTCTTGGTGAAGCGGCGTATCTATCTTTAGTTAATCTTGTGAATTAACATGTGCTGTTTTGCTGGGTATCGTTCACATCTCCATGGTTATGAGTAGCTCGCCAGCACAGGCACAGTACAGAAAGATGAAGTATGACTGACAGAAACTTGAAGTCTTGCGGTCGCCTTTCCATGCGGAGAGGAAGCTTCTGCACGTGGAGAAAGGCATCTGCTGTGAGCGTTGTCGCGATGTAGGCGACCTTTGCGCTGATGACGACCACTGCGGTGCGCCTAGCTGCATGTGTGAGTACCAAGACTGTGATGAAAGTCACATCCGCATATATGCGCAGTCGGATTTGAGCTCGATAGTCATCGCGACGACAAGTCGGTGCCCCTTGACACAAGTGACGTGGTGGGAAGGTTGTTGCCGTCGCGTAACATCAAGCCGCACCAAGACGCCATGACCACCGCGTCGGCCGAGACTTCTCCGACCGCCGACGCTGACGGAACTTCAAACACCCGCAGGCAAACCTCCATCCTCCGACATCAGTGACGAGATGCGCGTACATAAGGGCGCGCTGCTCTTCCCTGACCTCGAGGCGCTCACCTTTTTCGATTCGCATTCCGTGGCTTATCATCTTACCACCAAATTCACCATACTCAAGACTCCAGCGACGCGTTTGCGAGGCCGCATCAAAGAGCTGGCAACATGATGACTCCGCATTCCGAAACGGACATTCTCCGTTCTTCGCGAGACATGTCCTTTAAGATGGCGCGCAAACTATAATCATCGACGTGTTGGTCGTATCTCGTGGTGCATTTGTACACGAAGCGTATGCGCACCAAATCGCGCAGAATGATAGTGCTGAATACCTACCGTTGACTGATCCGCACCTTGGGGATTCGCGAAGATGTGGATTGAAGGTAATGCGTGAGGGTTTGATATGTACTCTAGGCTTGAATGTCGAGCGACTGCCAAATCGCGGTCATGGAGGTGCTCTTGGGTCACCATTGTACATCGTTTCCCATGTCCATATTACCTCATATGCTTGATTTCGGCATCGCATTTCTTCATTTCACTACTACAGTGCAGCTTTTCTCCATCACAATAGGAAGCAGGTCTTATTGTTGATTCTGGGCAATCTTAGCGCCGCATGTGTTTCTTTACCTTCTTGCGCTCCGGGTCCTCAGGCTCCAATTCTACCTCTTCACCTATTCCATAATGTCCACAATGGCGCGCCGCCAACAGCGAAAGACGACCACCACGGCTAAGCTGGGCAATCTGGACCTTCTCCTTGTCGCTCTACGAGCAGACCTCGGCCCCGATTGGGGATGCTACAAGGAACTCATAGAGGGAGCCGCAGCCGCGAAGGCAAACGGCGAGAGTGTTTCTGCCTGGGTTGACCAGACCGAGCCGCTGGTACGAAATACCGCTTCGCAATTCGCGCATCAGGGAGTGCTCTTTCTGTTAGGCATCAAGGTGGATAGTGAAGGTGAGACATATTTGGCTATCTAGCACCTTCACGTGAATACTAAACACTCTCAGCTTCTTCTGTCACCAAGGCCACCGACACGACCAACGACATGTCCGCTCCACCTCCTGACACCCGACGCCCCGCGCAACCAGTTGTCACCAAGGCCACCAACGCGACCAACGACATGTCCGCTCCACCTCCTCACACTCAACGCTCGCAGCAACCAATGCAGCCCTCAGCCAACATGCAGAACAACTTCACACCCAGCTGGACACCCATGCCCTCACCCAGTCCCAGCGCCTACGTACCACCGACACCCGCCCCCGTCGCATCCAAAAAACGCTCAGCCGCCAATGTCGCCTTCCAGGGTCAGAAGCAGGCTACCGCGACACAGCCTCTCAAATCCGACTGGTTCGGCGGTTACGTCCTTCACCAAGACCCAGCCTTTCGGCGCGACGTATTCGAGTTCTTTGGACACGAAGTACCTGACAAGCCCGATCCTAAGCACCACGATCAATCGGATGTATCGTCCGTATACAAGGCCGCGGATGACGACTTGGCTGTCTGGAGGGCGGGCTCTGGGGCTGAAGGCGAGGTAAAGGACGGCGGTCAGGAGGGTCAGAAGGACAGGATCAAGAGCGTGGAGGATGCGAAGCGGGAGCGTGTGCGAGAAGGCTTGCGCTTCAAGCTTTTCGACAAGTTGGATTGATATTGGCTACTGATGAGGTGGCCGCTCTTGAAGTCAGGTGTCTGTGCGGGCTGAGCTGGTGCGGAGACGAGCGACGTACGGTGTTATGGAAGGGCGGATAAAGGGCTTTTGGGGAGGTCGATACACGGTTGGACTGGTAGGGAAGGCGTTTGGCGTCGCTAAAGGATGGATGATACCCCGGGAAACTTGTGAATGATACTTCAGAAAACACACCTCTCCTTATACGGTCATCTATTGATATTTTCGAGCTCTTGAATGGATGTGTTTCAATTACCCTCATGAGCGATCGTCGCACGTCAACTTTGATAGAAGCTAAACACCCTAGAGCCTACACTGATTTGGGGTCACACAATTTACATGTCTTCGTCTTGATATAGTCTCTAGACCTGTTCGGTTCTTTCCCTGTATGAGGTGGCTGGTGATAATTGACGATATTGCTTGACATACACACCACTGTCAGCTCGTATTGCGAAGCACATGCGCTGAGTTTCGGTGAGGCTATTCATCCTATGCTTGAATTCGCTCGAGTCGATTTGTTCGAGTGGCAGTCTCTTGGGGGACTGTAAAACCGGGACGTAAGCGTGAAACTGGCGACGATAAGGGCACCGACATTGAATATATGTTTGGAATCGATAACGTTTGATTCTTTTTGTAGAGGCGATAAAGACCTTGGTGGGTATCCATGATAAACGCCAATGAACCCTTTGAATGCGCAATGACCATACTCCTAAGAATGCACAAAACCAAAACACTACTCATCGGGTTGCCGCATGCTTGCTGACAACGCGATCATTCTCTTCCGCTCGATAATGATGGGTTGATGACTCTTCATGGCTTCCGGGACATGTCGTCGACCCAGCCGCGATGTAACTGCTCGTATGCCTTGTGCATCCATCGCGACCGCTGCCATCCGCAATCTTAGTCCCATAACACCATTGCAGCAGCAGCCATCCATCAAACCCCTCAACCTCATCCACTCCGCACGGTACTAGCATCATCCCCACCCCCATCAACCTTCTTCTTCTTTTTCTTCTTCTTCGGCTCCTCCCCTCCCCCATCCCCCTCCCCACCATCCACCTTCTTCCTCGGCCTTCCCAACTTCCCCCCTCCTTCCCTCCCTCCTCCTCCTCCCTCCCCCTCCCCACCGCCATCCTTTTCCACCAGCACAGCCCCCTCATCAGTATCAAACGCCTTCCTCTTCCTCTTGAGCTCCTTATCCGTCTCCAGCATCTCTGACACTCTCCCCAGCTTCCCCGTATCCCGCCTTAGCATGAATTTGAAGTCGTCGAGCTTGATTTTGGCGCGGCGCGCGTGGTGCGCGACGGACGCGGCTTCGTGGCAGGTTTCGATGATGTAGTCGGTTATGATTTCGTCGAGGACGCGCATGGTTTCGGGGAGGGGGTAGTCGTTGTCGCCGAAGGCGAGGAGGAAGGCTTCTACTGGGGGGAGGTTAGTATGATGTCGATGGGTGACAGTTTGGGTAGCTGCGACAAGTGATGCGCATCCAGCGGATAGGGAAGGGCATGACTTACAGTCTTGTGTAGGGAACTGCTGGCCTTTTTGCCGCAGGCGCATACGTGGCTCTGTCATGGTGTTGTGTCTCTCGCGCTCTTTGTCGTTGTCCGACTGCCTCGTTCTCCTCTCTCAGCGCTTCCTTTGCTCGTTCCTTCAGCGCCGCTATCCGTAATAATCGCGTGTAATCTCTGCGCTTTAAACCCGTATGATGAGCTTCCGCGGTGCCGTAATAATCGTTCTTCGATGGTTGAGGTGAAGTCGCGATCCCCCGTCGCGCTTGTTCCAGCGACAACAGCTAGCGCGCTGCGCGCGCTGCAATGACGATCCCACATGCGGCGGCCGGGAGTGCGCACAGACCCTTTGTCCGCGGGCGCAACCAACGTACGCGACGACAGTAAAGCGACAATCTGGCCTGAAGCGCGCGCTTTCACTAGGCAGCAACTTTTACCTACCCTCTCTGACTACGAGCGCATCTACGCTGAGATATACGCGAAGACACCACCAGCGGCGAACACACACACACCATCCGACACGCATCCAAACCCACCACGCAAACCCTCCACCTTCGCACTCGTCACTATACATCCACATCCATCACGATGGTTAGTCCTTCTCTCTCTCTCCCTCTCCCTCCACCCCTATCCCTCTATCCCTCTCTCTCCCTCTCCCCCATCTCCCTCCCTCTCTCCCCTCCCTCACCCCCCATCCCCATTTAAACCCCCCTCCCCAAACC